AGTCCTGTTTTACAACAGTGGCACCATGCAGTATTTGTCCTTTTGTGACTGAGATACTTCACTCAGCATAATGTCTTCCAGGGTCACCCATTTTTCATATTTCATGAGTTCCTTGTTTTTCAATGTAGCGTAATATTCCATTGTGTGAATATACCACAGCTTCTCTATCCATTCGTTTGTTGATGGGCACTTAGGTTGTTTCCAGCTCTTAGCTATTGTGAACAAAACCGCAGTAAACATGGGTGTGCATATATCTGCCTGGGTGGCAGTTATGGTTTCTTCAGGTTATATTTCCAGTAATGGAATTGCTGGGTCTAATGCTATTTCTATTTGCAACTTTTTGAGAAAGCGCCATACAGCCTTCCATAGTGGTTGCACCATTTTACACTCCCACCAACAGTGAATAAAGGTTCCAGTTTCTCCACAACCTCACCAGCATTTGATGTTTGCTGTTCTGACTGGGGTGAAATGATACCTCATAGTTCTTTTGTTATCACATTTATTTCCTGCAGGGAATTTATCTGTAACTTTACTGTCCATATTAAAACAACTTTTTGGTCTTTGCAAGTTATCTAATCAGGCTATACATTAAGACTAAAACAAGACTGGGAAGTATATCATGGAAATCTTTGAGTTGTATTTTTAATAATAATCCTAGATGTCCCTACTGATATTCTTCTACACAGGTCCTTAAATGCATGGGTTAGGGAGGGAGAAAAGCAGGATGAAAATCCATGAATAAGCATTTGTCTTGAAAGTTCTACATATTTTCCACTTTAGTGATTATTTTGTTGATGATTGGTAACACTATAGCTTTGACTACTGGTAGAGAAATGTTTCCTCTATCTATGAAATTGGAATTATGTTTACAATCATCTGTACTTAAACTGCATTGAAACAGATGAGGGAGAAAACAGTTTAAAAGCAATATATGATCGAGTAATATGGTTATCACAAGAGTCCAGAATGAAGGTTGCATAGTGAAATGTACTTGGGTTGGGGTGGCCAGGAGGATTGTATACCAATGAAGGAATGTTTTTTTTAGCTTTTCAAATAAAAGAGTGAACTGTGGGAGAGGGGTAGGCAGGGAGAAAAGTGCAACAATGAATGAAAGCTAAATCTCTGTAAATGTTCATTAAAAAAATAAATTATTTTTAAAAAAAGACTTGAAATTCAAGCATTGGCTATTTTGTTTTTCCCATGGGCAAGATCAATCATATAAGAAAAGAAAGGAGAAAAAAAGCTGTAACCTGTGCCTTTCTCGCCACCGACGGATGGCCATTTTTCCCCCATCTGTATCCACTGTTTATTTCATGAGAATTTCATAGCAAATACTATGTTTTATTTGCTTATATATATTTTAGTATGTATTTTCTAACTGATTGCTGTTATTGTGTACTATTGAGTCAGATCCAATTCTTAGATGACCATTGACAGATTTGCAAAGGCAATAAATCACAGTGGAGAAGATTGCACATTTCTGACCAGAAGGCAGCTAGTGAATTTGAACTGCATACCTTTGGGTTTGTGTGTGTGTGTGTGTGTGTGTGTGTGTGTAGACTGAGTGTGTGAGGGAGAGGCAACACAATTCCTTCACCCCTAGGCCACCATAAAGGAGGTCTGGTGTCTTAGTGGAAAGGAGTTGTACTGCCAACCTGAAGACTTGCAGTTCAAATCCCCCAACTGGCTGCTTCACTGGAGCTGCTGAAAACCCACTGGAGGGTCAGAAATGAGTTAGTTCTGAGTTGAGGGCACCGAACAAATCCCTTTAATTATTTTAGTTTGAATATTTATTTTTAGATTAATAATACAAACTTAACTTCTCATCTAATATCCATCCACAGTGATCACTGACGTATTCCTATATATACTTTTTTCAATTAAAAAAATAATAAAAGCTAAGGAAAGATTTGTAGAAAGTGACAGTCCGACGTATGGGAAGCCAAACTTTAAACTTTATATTATATGAAAATCCTTGTTTAGGAATTGAAGGAATTGCAGATTTATAAATTAGGATTTCTCTTGTGGCAGATCCCAAAAAATAACCTCTTTGTTCCCTGCAGACAGGAGACAACGAGGACCCTCCTACAGAGTGTAACTTCCTCGAAAATACTTCCTGAGCTAGAGCATTAGGCTGACAATAGAGAAAAATAGAGCCTTCATTTACAAGGAATTCCTTGTATTATTATTTGTTTCCCCAGATTATCAATAAATACATAGAGGAACATGCAGTGGGTTTATGTTGGGGAAGAACAGCCAAAGGCCCAGCTGTGTGTCTTTTTTTTTTTATTATAATTATATTTTATT